TTTTTTGTTTACTGTATTGCTTCTGGCAGCTCAGTGAGCCGCCAAAGGGATAACAGGCACAACTTCTTTGACTTCTATATAACTTGTGCTAATACTACCAACCAACCTTTTCATCTCACCTTTGCGAGGATGCAAAACCCGCAAGGCGGTCGCATTGCCTCCAGCTGCTCTGCATACGTCATCCTCCTAGGCTGCCGTCTTAAAATGGTGCGAGGTTCATCCCCGCTTGCGGTATCCACGCTGGATCCAGCAGGATGGTGTGCAACCTTTTCTGTTGCGGCATTTGGGACACCCGTTCGGCATCAGCTGCAACCGCCTGGCCTCGCCAGGAATTGGGCCCTTGTTGCCAATCTTCGGCTGAGGCGGCGGTGCCTTGGGGAATGGAACTGTTTTAGCTGCTTTTGCTACAGGAATGTCACCCACTGCATTCACTGAGTCACTCGTTTCATCAGCTTTTCTCTTCGGGGCTGCTGCTGGGCGCTTCAACGGGCAGGCAGCTGGCCGCTTCATTTTTGAAGGCGCTTGTTTGTCTCTGTCTCTCTGGTGCAGCGCTTGCTCCAACATGGCGTTCGCAGCAATTGCTGTCACATCTGGGCTTTTCTCGTTGCCCACATCGCCATCTTCAATGGCTGGAATTCTCTGGCCCTTCTCTGCTACTGGTGCCACAGTCTCCAAAATCTCAAGATTGGACGGCTTCTGAGGCTTTCCAGGCGCCGCATCCTCCAAAGCCATCACCACTGTCAGCTCCGATGGTTTCTCCTCCACAACTTTGCTCGAATCCACGATGTCCTTGCCAGGCAACGCCTTGGAAGGCTCACGCACCACCTCGAGCTTCTCCAACACTGGTGGCGCAGGCGGCGTCAAAGCCTGTGAAGCCGGTGGCGCTGTGGCAGGAAGGGTCAAAGCAAGCGCAGGCGGCGTCGAAGCCTGTGAAGCCGGTTGCGCTGTGGCAGGAAGGGTCAATGCAAGCGCAGGCGGCGTCGAAGCCTGTGAAGACTGTGGCGCTGTGCCAGGAAGGGTCAATGCAAGCTGACCAGGTCCTGCAAGCTGACATTGTCCTGCAAATCACTGGCGTTCTTGCAAAAGAACAAATTGCTGTAGTTATTCAAAACCTATATATATATATATACTTGTTTTACTCGCCCTTCAGACATTGCCAGTCTTCAGACATTTATACATAATATGGTGTCATTTCGCGTTAACAAATACATACATCGCTCCGAAATGAACACAGCATCCTGGATGAAATGCAGGATGCAAAGGCGCAGGGGCCTGTTGGGGCCAGAACATGCCCGCGCTCGTGTGCTGCTGCCACATGTGCATGTTGCTCAGAGGCATGAACGCCGGGCCTGTGCTCTTCGGC